ACATGGCTTTTCCAACAAGCGGGATTGGCCTAGGGAATTTTAGTGGGGTTTTTAAGGGAAATTTTAATTATTAGGCCATTGCAAATATTTCCTTTTAATCTGGTTTTAAATTGGTATTTACTGTAATATTGGTTTTATAAGGCTGTCAGCCGCCCTGAGTCCGGTAAGGAGAAGGGCGGGATACAAATCAAATAAATAATAATAATAATAATAACCAGAGGTAGTATTTAACACAACTCCCAATAACTCTAACATTTAAGGATCTCAGTTATGTGTGTGTGTGTGTATATACACAGACACTAATTTAATATATCTCTACAGGGAAGGAAGCTGTTGTTCCAATTGCCAAAAGTCTTAGAGCACAGTTATAAATACATTTTATTATTCTGTAGCATGGAATTACTGACAAAAGTTAAAGCATTGATTTAATGCTGTCTTCCAAGAAAAGTAGTGGTTCTATCATTGGAATAGCCTATAGACAATAGCTAATATATATAAAAATGTGATCCATGGCAGCTTTGAATAAGGATGGGTGCATCATTTGTTATTACATCACTTTATTTAGGACAACAGGGATCAATAAATCAAGAGGATTAAATGCTGCTATTTCCTCCCACAGCAAATTATTATGAACATCATTTGCTTGCCAGTATGCTTGAAACATTGCTAGAATTGATTGTTATGCTTGGTGTCGTCTGCAAATATGATGAGTTCCCCATCTATCCCCTCGTCCAAATCATTGATATAGATGTTGAAGAGCACTGGGCCCAGAACAGAGCTCTGGGGCACCCCACTACATACTTCCCTCCATGTAGATGCGGTTCCATTGAGGACCACATGCTGAGTACGGCCGGTCATACAACTGGTTCATACTTACGACTGTTGCTGTGTCCCAGGGTTATGTGATCATGGTTTCAACTTTCTGACAAGCAAAGTCAATGGGGAAGCCAGATTCACTTAACAACTAGGTTACTAACTTATCAACTGCAGTGATTCACTTAACAACTGTCTCGCTTAAGAAAGGAGCAAAACTCACTTAACAAATGTCTCACTTAACAACAGAATTTTTGGGTTCAATTGTGGTTGTAAGGTTGAGAACTACCTGTAAATATCTACTTTTTGCCAATCCCTATATCAGCCAATCCCTATATCCATTTAAATTCTCGGTTATTTCAATGACTAGATTATAATTAATGTTCCATTGAGATCAGCTAAATTGTACAATCAAGGTCAATTAGTTTTTCTTGCATTAAAATAGCGTCTTCACATTTTAGAGGGTTTTTTTCCCATATAGTTCCTGCTCTCTAGAATTGACTCCCCTTTAAATAAATGTCTGGTGTCTGATCTTTTGAGATTTAAAAATGTCATTTTTTTTTTGCCAGACTTCTATATAACTGGGGAAAAAAACCCTTTCCATTATTCACTAGAAATTTGTACTAAACTTCTGCTAGCATTAGGACACATCTATATCATTGTATTAGAAAATATCTTGCATTAATTATTGCAGTGTTTTATTCTAATGACAGCTCTAGTTTTGATATATCTCTAGTCTATTTGTTAGAAGTATACATTAAATAAAATGTCTACTAGTACAGCTGCATTCACACATATGCACATACACTTTTAGCCATTAAGATTTTGGTAATGCTTGAAGTGGTCTTATAAGTCATTTTCTATGTATGTAATGCACTCAGGTTGGTGAAACGTAAACATTTGCATCTCTGCTGCCCAATAAGATGATCTTAGTTGATAAACTCTACTACTTATCTGTACTTCTTAAGTTTGATGCAATTCTGTCTCATTTTCTATTTCAATCTTTTACTCTAAGAAAGAGGGTTGTAACTACAGCCCAAAAGTATATGGAAGTGCCTTTTCCAGATATGTTAAATATTAATTTGGAAATGTACTTCTTTTGCACTGATCTGAATATGTTATTATTTTCCAGGGAGGCTTGAAATGTGGTTTATGCTGTACATTCAGGCTATTCCAAAACACACTGAAGATTTTGAGAGACTGCCCAGTTTTCCAGAGAGAAAACTGCTATCTCTGGTGTGTAACTTTAAAAGCTAAGTTTCAGAGCATGTGCTGGCTGGGGAATTCTGGGAGTTGAAGTCCAGATATCTTCAAGCTGACAAGGTTGAAGAAACACTGCTCTGTGCTTTATCAACCACCTTTCAAACTTATGCACATATGGAAATAAACTAGAAAGCATTTTTCCTCTCATTAGGAAAAACAAAAGATATACCAGTTAATGCACTTCATCTCTCATGTGTAGGACTTAGAGTGCCATTTTCTTTGGGTTGTATATCTGTTACTCATATACATGCATATTGTGAACAGGTTTTGGAGATACAATCTAGTACGCAACTTTGTATTAATGGAGTCATTAATGGTCTTGTTGCAGGTGTGAATGCTTACCAGGTTACAGTGGAAAGCACTGTGAAACAGATGATGATGACTGCATGGGACACAAATGCCGCCATGGTGCCATGTGTGTAGATGCTGTAAATGGATACACCTGCATTTGTCCTCAAGGATTTAGGTAAGAATAATGTCTTGATCTACTCTGAGGTACTTATGAAACCATAGTATGTGACCTCATCGTTCAGCAGCTTTTTTGACAGTGTCTAATAGTTTACCATTTACTGAGATAGTTCTTTTTGACAGAAATATTCTTTATTTTATTCCTTTAGGTCTTTGGAAAGTGAGGGACAAAATAAGTGATTAAACAAACTAAGGTGTCTTAATTTTTAGCAGGTCTAATTGGAAGTTTTAAAACACAAGGGTACATTGTGCATTCTGAAAGGCATTCTATGGTATATGATTTTTAATATTTTTTGATTCATTATGGAATTACTCAGTAGTCTGATAAGAGTTACAGTTTAAGGTAAGTGTGCTAAGCAAAGACAATGACTGAGTTTTTATAACACAATATAACGCAGAAAAATTGAGATGGTGAAAAATAGGTAGATATTACTGAAGTGGTATATAGGTAGTCCTTGACTGACAACCACAATTGAGCCCAAAGTTTATGTTGCTAAGTGAGAAATTTGTAAAGTGAATTTCCCCCCATTTTATGACTTTGCGTACCACATTTATTAAGTGAATTTCACTGCAATTATTAAGTTAGTAATATGATTGTTAAGTGAATCTGGCTTCCCCATTGACTTTGCTTGTCAGAAGATTGCAACGGGGGATCACATGATCCCAGGATACTGCAACTGTCATAAGTGTGAACCCAGTTGCCAAATCACATAACCATGGGAATACTTCAATACTGCAGTGTGGAACAGGGTCATAAAATCACCTTTTTCAGTAGCATTGTAACTTTGAACAGACACTAAATGAACTGTTGTAAGTCAAGGACTACCTGTATTCTTCCATTCTGTATCTCTGTCTCAGTTTTTCTTTTTTTGTCTCCTGCATTCTCATTTTATGAATATACTCCCTACATCCATAATATTCCATCATAAATTGGCAACTTCTAAATGATTAGAATAACAGAGTTGGAAGGAACCTTGTAGGTCATCTAGTCCAATCCCCTGTCCAAGCAGGAGACCCTATACCATTTCTGACAAATGGCTGTCCATTCTCTTCTTGAAAGCTTCCAGTGATGAATCTCCCACAACTTCTGGAGGCAAGCTAAGTTCCATTGGTTGATTGTTCTCACTGTCAGAAAATTTCTCCTCATTTCTAGGTTAAATCTTTCTTTGACCAGTTTTCATCCATTGTTCCTTGTCTGGCCCTCAGGTGCTTTGGAAAATAGGTTGTCCCCCTCTTCTCTCTGACAGACCCTTATGTGCCATCCTGATCTTCCTGACCTGCAAAAAGGCTATAAGAAGCCATCACTGACAGAGAAGGCACAGGGTTTAAAGTTTGTTTTGAGCATGCACGCATGCACGTGTGTGTGTGTGTGTGTGTGTGTGTGCGCGCACGCGCACGCTTTCGCACGCATGCTTGCTTGTTCTGGGCTATTTGAGGGTATAAGGTTGCAAATTGGAGCAGTTCATTTCTCAGGAATCTCTTACACCCACTGCAATCTATCACCCCTAAATCATGCTGTTGAAGATTAGCCAGTTTGCAATGTAAATAATATTCAGAAAATATTCAGTTCAAATGAAAACAGGCATCACTTGTTTTAGGTGTAATGCTAATCACTGAGTATTGACTTTTTATGCTGAAAAAATGTTTAAAATGTGTACAAACATAGCTATAAATAGATGCAAGCAAGCAAGTCCTGTGTGGCTTTGTTTTAAACATGCCATAAGGCTTTTTGTTCATATTATTGTTGCAACAGATTCATATGATTACCCCTCAGGAAACAACTGCAAACAGATGGTTATTTTCCATTCAGTTTCCCTCTAGTTTTGTTTTTTCAAATCCCAGAGGTACATGTACTGATCCCATCATTGGTCCCATTCATATGTAATATGCAGAAGAATTTATTAAACCATGATCATTTCATTTCTTCTTCATGCTTCAAACACACCAACCTCATACTTGCCCTGGCACTATGTATGCTATATAGTTACAACATTTTTAAATGCTATTTTATCAAGAATTTTAATTGTAATAGTAAAAACTAATACATATTAAACTTAGAGAAAGAAAAGAGTATGGAAATGAAGAAATGGTGGCGGAAAAAAAGAATATAATAAAGAAAAGAAATAATAAGAAAAATCAATATATAAAGAAATAACTTTCAACTTTCATCACAACAAATAAAAACAAATTTAATAAAACTTCACCCATATAAGGTTAAATAGATATCTCTTCATCCCATATCCCATCCCTTATCTATAAACAAATCCATAAAATATCCATTTTTCAGTCCGGATGACAGCAAAAAGTCCACAAAGGGTTTACATTTTTGAACATTGCAAAAAATGTCTTATTTTAAACTTGTTCAACTTTATATCTTTTTTTCCTTTTACTTCTAACAGTCTTAATCTTTAATACAAATACTGTAGGATTTGATTTATCATTAATTCTTCTTTATTCTATTACATAGATTTTTTTCAAGACTTTAACAAGCATCCTTTGTAGATCCAATAACATTTTCCAGATCATCCTCTTGGTTTATCATTTGTATTTCCCTTTTAATTTTTAAAATTTTAGCTAGTTTAGTTTGTATATCCAGCAAAGCATTCTTTTCTAAATCATTCTCTTGCCTTTCACTTGTACTTCCATATTTTATATTTTATCTTATCAGATAAAGTTTGTTTCACATTTGTCATTTCTTTATTAATTTATTTTAGACATAGTCTGTCCATAGAAGCAGACATCATTACTGAGAATGTTGATATTGTAGTTGCTAACTTCTTGTTCCATTCTTCAAAGATTCTCCCTTAATATTTCCAATGTTACAATTTTTCTGTCATTCTGTAATTCCAGTATTAACTGACATCAGGCTTATGTACTGTATTTATTTTTTCTTCTGCTTAGAATCTTTAGTCTCCTCTAGTGTCCAGTTTCTAAAATCATCAATTATCTTTTTTATGACTGCAGTTGCCAGAATAGCCAAAATAAGTCTGTTTCCCATGAGAAGCAAATAATTAATTCTAATAATAAAAATCAATTTTTCAAATGTATTTGGATCCTTAATTCATTTTGAGATCAATATCTTAGTTAACTTTTTGCGGCTTATTTTTAATTCTTTAAGATCTTCAGCTTGTAATTTTTCTTATGTTCAGAGTTGAAGATAAACTCATATCCAATGAAGACTTTTCAAACCTGTCATTCCAAACGTCTCTAATAACTTTAGACAATTTCTGAAAGTAATTAGAAAGTGAAGTTTGGGGACTTAGTGTCCTATAAAAATTTCTTCCATGTTTGCAAGCAATTGGCCAATTTGTCTCTCAGCATTTAAACCCATGGGAGTCCACTGTCCTGAGGAATCCTTGTGAGGAGCAGCCGTCCAGAGTACATATGGGTACTCTCATTCTCTCTTTATCTGGAGAGATTCCCAAAAAAGAAAAAAAAATAGACTACTCATTGATTCCTTGGTCTTTGCTGTGGTTATCAGCTCTGCTTTCACAAAGCCATCTTCAGTTCACCCGACATCCCCCGGACGCCCCTATAGGTAAACATTTTTGTGCCGTACTTTATTCAATGTTTTTAAGTTAAGGGGGGGAGAGGAGGAAGTACATAATTATCACATAATTTCTGATCAGTCCTGTATATACTTAGCTTCTTGTGCTACAGGACAGAAGTATGCATTTCAGATATTCTATGTATGGAAGGAGATTGATGTGTATACCCCAGCAAACTCGCCATCCAAATATGTTTATTTCCAAACAGTCATTATGTATTCTATGCTGATACTTTTAAGAAATTTAGAAGATTCTCAACCTTTAAACTGATTCTATAAGGAATATGAGAGATTTTGCCTCATTAGCATGGATGAGAGTCTAGTTGTCATAATGATATTTTGCTTTTGATATATATAATCTCTGTGGTATTACTTAACACTCTGAAGTTTAACTCTGACAGCTGCCAATCAGCCCACTGTGTGGAAAATCTCACTGAATGTCAAAGATAAGCTATTCCTCCAAATGGTTTCATTAATCATTGCCTCAGAAAGTGCATTGCCTAGTTATTGCTTCTCTTCAGGAAGGTATTTTTTGTGCTTGGAACAGATTCACACAGCAAGAGAGCAATAGCAACTGAAAACAAAGAAACAAACAAAAATAACAAAATCTGAAAAGATATAGAAGCATTTGGGACCATGTTTTCTCAGAATTTTTTTCTTCTTTTCTATTTGTTTGTTCTTTATGACATACTTCTATTACATTAGTGTGTTTAGCATTTTGAAGAACAAATATTGATTCTTGCAGTGTTATAAGGCTTGATTTTAAAGTTTTGATCATTATAAAATTCAAGCAAAGAACTAGACTTTTCATCTGTCATGTCTATTCTGAGGGGTCCTTGGTGCTGTCTGAGCTTGATTGTTTTCTTACAGACATTTCATTACCCAAACTAGATAACATCATCAGTACTAGTCACTACCACTGATGATATTACCTAGTTTGGGCAATGAAACATCTGCAAGAAAACAACCAAGCTCAGACAGCACCAAGGACCCCTCATTTCAGCCCTGAGTTACAAATATACTTCTTTATTGGTCATGTCTATTCTTTTTTTTCCTTCTATCTTCTGTTTACTTTATCCTGATTGCAAAGAAAAAAGATAGATATATTTGTGAGACTTGCCAATGTTCCTAAAATCTCCTGTTTGCTGGTGGCATATTGTTTTGTTCCTGGAAAATGTGCCATTCTTAAAAATAATCTGCCAGGAACAGATGTTTAAAGAACAAAGTTTCCTTGTAGCAGGAACATAATATGTATCAAAAACAAGAGCCCTGACATGGTAAGGATAGTCCACAGCCATCCTTGAGTTAGCACTACAGAAAAGAAATATGATCCTCCCAAAATATAGCAGGAACAAAAGCAACAGAACAGACTAGTTTAGATTTAATCTACAGAATTGATATATAGCACAAATGTGGCATATTTAAAAAAAAGCTTAATAGTTTGAATATTT